GCAATATTCACAAGGTTAGATTGATTACGATGGCTTTGAGGAAGAAATCATATTTATGGATAAATGTTTTGGGAGAGTTGGGGTGGGCTTCGTTTTTACAGTGCTAAATTCAACTTGAAGAAGCTGAGACCTATGATTCTTAAGGGAATTGAAAATCGCGCCAAGGACTATCCGGTTGGAGGCATGGTCCCTGTTGCAGTGGAAGTTCTTAAAGCCAGAGCTTTAATGATACAAGGCATCTCCACCTTTATGAAACTTGTTCCTGTTCAGGCTTGCAAGTAAGCTTAAGTCTATCTAACAAACACCTCTTCGTGTTATGTCATGCATTGCGATAATCTCGGGTGCGTTTAGTTTAGTATTTTGGATAGGATTTTGAGGATAGTATTGGGTTATTGGATAGGAGAGTATTACGAGGTGAATTTTAAAAATTTGTGAAATTAGGTTTACTAATTTAATTAAAGACCCTAACATATAAAATGACAAAAACACCCCCACCACCTACAGTGCCAGATTCAGGCCACCACCGCTAGAATCTGGTCGAAAATTTTCGTTATGGCATAGACCGGTCGGATCTGTGCCGTAACACGTCGTTATGGCCTTTTCCGGCCGGATCCATGGTGGATCTGGTCGAAAAAGGCCAGATCTACGGTCTGTTATGGCAGTCGACGGCCAGATCTGGCCGGAAAAGGCCACATCGGTGAACTTCCAGCCATTTCTGATCGGAAGTTAGGCCGTTGTACAGATTCCGGCTATCACCAACGGTGGTTGTCGGAATCTGACAAGTTGGGTTGATGGGAGTGTTTTTGTTAATTTTTAAACTTTTTTTCAGGGGGTATTTAGTGAAATTAATAACCTTATGGGGTTTAAAAGTAATTAAAAAAATAGGGTAATATTTCTGGAATAATGTGCCAAACATTATTTGGAGAATAGGATCCAGAATATGGATAAAATTATTAAGCCAAACACAGCCCTCCATGTTTTCAACTGTGGGTGTGGGAGCATGATTGTTTTGTTTAAATCTTGGTTAAGACCTTTGAGGTTTAAAGGGTTTGTAAGTGTAGCTATGGGTGTTTCACCTCCAGGCTGACTTCCATCGCTCATCTGGATCCAGATTCTCCTCCTCCTCATCGTCCTCCTCTACTGCTTCAGCTTCTTCTCGTCGGATCTCGATATCTCCAACAGCTACGTCAGAAACTCCTCCTTAGCTTCTCTTTCCTCCGCCTCTCTCTTCTTCCCTTTTCCCTCTCTCGAAAGTTAGTGCTCTCTTAGGTAACACTCTAATACTCTTTGGGGCGTTTAGTTCAAGGAGTGTTGGATTGCTGCAATCTTATATTACCCTCAAGATTATTAAGAATCTTTAGGAAAGTGTGTTTGGTTAGTTGGTGGGTATGTTATATTAATTGTTTGGTTAGTAGGAATAAATTTGTGAGTGTGTTATTTAAATTACTAAATTGTTCCCTTTTTAAATATTAATATAATATTATTTTTATTATTAATTTTTGAATAATTTTTTAATCCCCAATATTTTAGATTTAGCTAAAACACCCCCACTTATATAAAACTTTAATTTATGACGAAATTACCCCCACCCCATACCGCCACCGCAAACGACGTTGGAAGTCTTTGAAAGTCGTCGTAAGTAGCTTACTATGACCACGAGGCTCTGATATGGCTGTTTCCGGCCAGATCTGACCTTTTTTTACCAACAATATGGTCGAAAATAGCCATATCGAAGCCTCCTAGAGCCTCCCATTGAATCTCGATCTTTTTTAGGGACTCCGACGAATTTCCGGCGGCGGTCTGTGGTGGTTGGCCCGCTATTGGTGGTGATCGCTGGGTGGCAGTAGTGGTCTGTAATTTGTTTTAAATATAAAGGTATTATTGTCCAAAAATTAATTAAACAAGGGTAAAATTGAAATGGTATATTAATGTAAATTTATTTTAAAATATGGAGTATTATCCAAATTTTCTGTTTATGAACTCAAATGAACGAACTTTTCTCTGTTTTCAAATTTGCTCACTTTTAAATTAAACTCAGATATCTTTAATTAGGTTAATTTAATTATGTACAACCCAACTGAATCTATTGAAATTGAACTCACAAAATGGGTCTCAGGATGATTTTGAGTTGGGTGACAGTCTTAGAGTTGAGCCACCTTTACCTTTAACATGGTCCAATCAGTTCTTCAATTTAACTCCTAACATGTCCAATCAGTTCTTCAATTTAACTCCTACAATGGGTTGAATATATATATAATATACCGAGGTATCCGAGCCAACTTACGCATTTCTTAACTAATCCGGGTTCGTTAAATATTTTTTGTGATTGAATATCCGGCTTAGTTGGGATTATTTAGACTGTTGAGGGTAGACGTGGGTATCTGATTTGAAACTATGTACTAGTGTTGTATAATTTGTGACATATTGAATGCGTGATTTTACTTCGGCTTATTTGGGATTATTAGACAGTTGTTTGTAGGCTGTCAATTTTAAACCAGCATTTAAATGAAACAAAAATTTCTATTTTCTCAAAGATTGAAGAGTATGGCATGCAACATTTCAATCAAACCTACTAAAGTATATAATCACCATTAAAAATTTTAGAAAACAAATGCTGCCACTGAAACATTTAGGTCTAAACATGCACTGTAAAAGGACTGCAGTATCCACTAATTAAGTTAAACACAGTGAGGCAACTAGGTCTTAGACAAGCTCCATAAAAGAAAATTAATCTTTACATGATGAAGATCTAGCTAGCATGCTTTGAGTAAAACCTTTGATAAACCAGCATTTAAATGAAACAAAAATTTCTATTTTCTCAAAGATATCTTAAAATTTCCATCAGATTAAACAGCAAATGACAGATAAAGGTGTAATCGAGCTGAGCCGAGTATTGGATGGCTTGAACTCGGCTCAGATGCAACAGTGTCGAGCTTGAGCTCGACAGATAAAAGGTGAGCTTGAGCTCAGCTAAAGCTCGGCCTACCCGAGCTCGAGCTTAGCCTCAAGCTAGTGCTGTTCGAACCAATCCCGAGCCCGAGTTGAGGTCGAGGTCAAGCTCGAATAAGCAGGTTTGATGCACAGTCTGTAGCATTCTCTTTATTATAAGGCACATTGTGTGCTAACTTTTGATCACAGCCTGCATTATAGCATTATGTATCATTGTCTCGGCTATGGAAGGATTTGAGCTCGAATCAGAAAAAATAAACAATCCTAATTTACAAAGAGATCAGAGATAACAACTTCTGAATTCAATTGTCAGATAACAGAGATTGAAAAGCAGGTCAAAGATAACATCATGAATGTTGAAAATAATACATGTAACTAGACAGTTAAAACCTTCTGTTTTCCTTTGTCTTCGGAGTTGATCATTGTAATTTTGATCAACCATATCTATGTTGCATTAAAATTTCCATCAGATTTACACAAATCTAATCTGAACCACCACCAGCATCGCCAATTCTAATNCAACAAAACTACATATATAAACTTGTATACAAATTGATATAGTTGTTTGATTGACATATTATTCATTTACATTTATCGGGCAATTATGAAAAGAACGAAGCATGTATAATCATTCATTCATTTGTACCACATCAGTTTTGTATAAAGAGTTTGTAAATTTAATTATTCATTATAAAATAATATCTTTTAACTTCATAAACTAACTATTTATTTCCCTTGAATTTCACCAATATTACATATTAAATATACAATTGAATCTATATATGAAGCGGTCTAGTGAGTATTTGGAATCAAAAGCACGCCAATCACACACAAATAACGAAATATTAAAGAAAACAAACACACACAATTTATATGGTTCACCCAAAAAGGTGTTACGTCTAATAAAGTTAGTATTATTTTAATATTTATTCATCTCTCTTGTTATAATAAATGTACTTGTTATTAATTGTTGTGACACTCATACAAGAGAATAATGTATTTATATACTAGGTTTATTAAGAAAATAATAGTGTTAGACATATAAATTTTTTTTACAAAGATTTATATACAAAATGATATGGCAAAAAATTAATGGAAGAATGAATACAAAAAGTCAAACTCATCATATTCGTTATTCCATTCATTTTCTACCACATCACTTTGTATAAAAATTTTTATAAGATTTTATGTACATGTAATATTACTCTTAAAACGAACCTTAAATTATTAGGATTCCTATTCCTAAGACAAACCCTATAAGAGTTTTATTCCTTAAAGAAAGGGAGAACGACATGTTCCCACGCAAGGTTTGATGAAATGATACTTTCCTACCCACTGTTATGTTCTGTTAAGAAAATCTATTATTATTTAACTTTGAAGACAAAAACACCCTTTATTATTTGACTTAATAATTTTTTTATTATTTTATGTCATATCAACAAAGTCAATTATCAATATACCTCTCTTTAAATATGAAATTACTATTATGTCGTCAACTATATGTCAAATTTGTCCCTCCAATTTTTTTATTAAAAATAATGTTTTAAATCAATGAAATTACGTTAGATTTTTTTAATTTGAAACCTTTAAAATTACTAGTTTGTCCCTATAGTTGTTACAATTAAACTGACATTTATATTTAAATTTTGTCAATTTAGACACAAATAACATTAAGTAATTGCATTACTGATTTTTTTAGGTAATTGGTAATATTGCAAGGACAAAGAATAAGCCATCCGGGGATGACCCCTCATCAACGCGTCCCAAACGAAAAGGAAACCCTAACAAGAAGGAGAAAAACCTTTACAAAGGCACAAAATGCCAGCAAAGACAAGAGCAATCACGCACCAGCAACAACTTGGCACCTGGAGAACTCACGGCAGCAGCATTAAAAGGCTAAAAAAAAAACCCCACCTGCAAGATCCTCACACACCACCACAACAACCCAGACGGCAGCAAGAAAATAACAACCACACGGCAGTAGCAACTTAGCATTACTAATTTGCTTAAATAAGAATCCAAATTGTAAATTTACAATGCATCTATATATATATATATATATAAGAAATTTTGTCAATTCAAACCTAATAAAAACAGGGAATTCAATACAAAGAAAGCAACTTTTCCAGTTTCTCATTCATTTCTTAAAATCCAAAAATTTTTGCTTCCACCCTCCCACTTTCTAGCTCCTTGAAGTTTGTTTTTCCTTTGCTTTTTGGATCTTCAAAACCTTCTTCACAATCTTTTGCTCTTCCACCAAGAAACCTCGAATTTGATGTATTATTTTCAGCCAAAGTTACCATCTCCAATACCTCTGCAACTGCCTCAAGAGGGTAATCTCCATTTAATTTAGTGTCAACGCATTGCTTCACCTCGTCTTCACTGAGTTTTGGAGTTGCCTGAAACAATCCAGAATTGCATAAAAAACAGCTTGATTGAGGTTTTCATCACACGCCAAATAAATGACTAGAAGCAATAAGCGAAATTCACCACCCACTTTCATCACACAACTTCAGCCAAAAAGCACTATACGGAGTAAGTAAAATCTAATAGAGAATGACATGAAAGATATGTTCAAAGTCTATGATAGACAGTCTTCATGAACAAACCTCTAGAACCCAAATGAGGATTCCAACTTTACATAACCAAAGCAACCATAAGAATTCTGTGACATTAAAAGCAATATATCACTCAGCAATTTACCTTCTTATGGCAATTGTGTTGGGCCAAAAATCATCACATTGAAGTACCGCATATTATCCTCCGACGGTGAAGCACTTATCCTGGGAGCTGTATCCAAAAACCACGAAATCAACTCCACTGAAACCCAAACAAGCAAACCTAAACGCACATAACTCAAAAATAAATAAATAAAACAAGCGGAGAAGTAATCAAGTATTCACCTGGTTCATTAAGGAGAAGTTGAGTTTCTTGTTTGGATCAACAAAAAACAAGTTCAAAACACAACACAAAATCATCACCAACAAAATCCTAATTTCAGCGTCCAATCGACAACAAAGATCTCAATAAATTAAACTCCCTATATTACACAATCAATCCAATCAATAAGAGAGAATCGGAGGAAATTAGAGCATCAAACTGAAAGAACAAGTAATCCTTCCTATACAGACTTCAATTGACGAAGTTGAATCGGTTTTTTAAACGAAAGAGATATGAGAAATAGAGAAACTAGTCAAAATAGGGAGAAAGAGAGCGTAATCTTGATGATTCGTCGGGGGAGATTAATGTTAGCCATTACTAAGATCGAATCGTTTCAGTTGTTTTTTTTTTTTTTTTTTTTTTTTTTTTTTAACGATTTTTGTCTAATAAACAGAGAGGGTCAGAGAATTTACTAAGTTGAAGAGAGAGTGCAACAAAGTCTGATGCAAGACTCACATAAATTGACTATCCTACCCTTATTCAGAACGGATTTTTCTAAAGGAACATAACGATGGGTGGGAAAGTGTTATTTTGCCAAACCTTAGGTGGGAAAATGTGGCTCTCCCCTTAAAGAAATCTTACAATGACTCCTCATGTTACAAGCCCAAACCGCTTATGAGCCGAGGACTCCAACTCCAACAATATATACTCATAGAAGTAACAATCATCAAATAATTCAACAATATTTTTCAACAGTAAATACTTGTAGAAGCAACAATCATCAAATATTTCAACCTTGAATTATTCATTAGCAAATAGTATCTTTTAACTTCAAAAACTAACTATTTATTTCCCTTGAATTTCACCAATATTACATATTAAATATAAATTGAATCTATATATGAAAGGGTCTAGTGTCACGGGCTGAGAGTTTCACACCCAAAAGGTTAACCTATTAGGTGGAGAGACTCCCCCCATTTATAAGCCTAGGATCTCCCCAATACGCTTCTAATGTGGGATTCGTTATATTCTCCCCCTACCTAATCATGTGACGCGCTCATCACAGGGGGGACCCCTTACCTACCCCTCCACCCCACTCTCGTGTGAACCCACAATCACACGTGGACGCCCCTATATGGGTGCTTGACGGGACGTTGAAAAACGGATCGGGTCGCTCCGATACCACTTGTCACGGGCTGGGAGTTTTGCACCCAAAAGGCTAACCTGTTAGGTGGAGGGACTCCCCCTATTTATAAGCCCAGAACCTCCCCAATACGCTTTCGATGTGGGATTCGTTATACTAGGGAGTATTTGGAATCAAAAGCACGCCAATCACACACAAATAACAAAATAGTAAAGAGAAAAAACAGGCGCTATTTATCTTGGTTTACCCAAAACCGAGCTAAGTCTAACAAAGTCAATATTATTTCAATATTTCCTCATCTCTCTTGTTACAATGAATGTATTTGTTATAAATTGTTGTAACACTCATACAAAAGAATAATGTGTACATATACTAGGTTTATTAAGAAAATGATAATGCTAGACACACAAAGAAATATTATAAAATTTTTTATACAAAGTGACGTCACAAAAAATGAATAGAAAATTAAATACAAAAAGTCAAACTCATCATATTCGCTATTACATTCATTTTTTGTCACACTACTTTGTATAAAAATATTTGTAAGATTTTTTGTATGTATAGTATTACTCTTAAGACGAACGTTAAACCATAGGATTCCTATTCTTAAGACAAACCCTATTAAAAGTTATATTCCTTAGAGAAATCCTACAATGGCTCTTGATGGTACAAGCCCAATCTGCTTACAAGCCTGGGACTCCTAACTTCAACAATATATACTCACAGAAGTAACATCATCAAATAATTCAACCTTAAACCAAGCCCCATATTGGAAATGCTTGATTGGAGTTTAATTGATGATCATAAACCTATACTTTAAGTCTTCACTTCTGTTTGTATCCCTAGTTTGATCATTTGCCATTACAAGAAGAACACCATTAAAAGACAAAATTTTAACCACGAAAAGTATTTCTTTGCTAATTCAACTTAATTTCCAAGAAATAAAATAAAATTACTCTACATATTAAACATATATTTAATATTAAAAATATATTACACCTGCAAACCAAATAGTTAATTAATAGATATTATAGATATATATTGTTATGCCTGAAAAAGTAGGGCTGACGTAGATCCCGGTCAGCGTAAATGGTTAGAGTCTAGGTAGATCCTACAGTCATTCAGACGCAGCCATGTCACATGCTGGAGTGAGCAGCATGCTCCTGCCAGTGTAGTGGGTGTGTGCCAGACTGACGAAAGGCTGGAGGCCGTCCACGTGTCCAGCCCCTGCACTAAACGAGGAAATCACTCGAGTGTGTGAGCAACGGGACGCAAAGAAGGATTTGCATGGTATCTGCCCCCTTTTTACGGATTATGTAATCATTACTCCAATTCATCCGACTATAAATAGAGAGCTCTTCTCCCATTTGTGGGATTGGCTCATTTGACTCTGTAATAGCTAATTTCTCTCTATAATAGCTTATTCTCTCTTTTGTAATCACTTGCAAGTCAGCTCGCTGAACGCGACCTGACCCTCCAAATTAATACAATATCAGTGGACGTAGGAGTCGCTTGCTTAAGCATCCGAACCACTTTAAAACATTGTTTCTCCACCTATTACTCATTTCACTACCCCCATTCACGTGTGTCTTCTGGGTCAGCTCAGCATTTCACACGTGCATTTAGTTGGTGTCAAAATCACGCATCAACAGTTTGGTGCTAGAAGGAGGGCCTGATTTAGTATTCGTCCTTCATTAGGAGAATCTCTGATTAATTGGTCCTACAATAGCAAATGGCTTGCCGATTCGAATCTGAGCGAACCAATCATGGTGATGAGGAGATCTCTCAGGTACAAGAGGACACTTCTCCCAAGGTGCCCTCAGTTCCACAAAATATCGTGGGAGATATCCCTTCAAGCTCACAACTTGATCCAGCCGTCATGAGCTACCTGGAGAGGTTCAACAATACTCTCCAAACGGTCAGCCAAAGGCTGGACCGTTTGGACCGGGGCATGCCACCGAATCAAATGGGGCGGTATAACCGCCAAAAACGCGTGCAGCATGTCACGACCTGAGCCGTCTCGTGCCACGTCGCGCAAGCACTCCTACGAAAGTGCAAGGCAGAGCGATTCCCATTGTCGCTGAAATGACGACTTCGATCGTCATGCGGGAAGTTACCACACTCTGCGGGTCAGTTCGCACCACCGCGGAGGTCGTGAAAATTCCCCGAATCATGCAATGCCATCACACAGCTCTAGCCAACGTGTGTTAAGATTGGCCGGAACGGCCGGCAGAGACGAGGAGGAATCCGACCTATGGTCATTCCTCAACCGTAATCGTGAGGGTCGAACCCACGTTGTGGAAAGTAATCCACGGGTAGCACCACTACCTCAGATTGAAGAGCTGCAGCGAGCTCTGGGTCAGCTAAAGGCTCAACAAAATGAGCGAGGGTAGGTCGCTGAGGCGTCCCCTTTTTCTCTGGCGGTATTAGTTGCCCCTCTCCCATTAAGATTTAGAATGCCCAATATGTGGGCGTTCGATGGAAATTCTGATCCGTAGGATCACTTGTATGAATTCAACGACTTGATAGAGCTTCACCAGGTTTCAGACTTGGCGAAATGTCATTGTTTGGCAGTAACTCTAACCTCTCATGCCAAATGGTGGTTCAGATCACTCCCAACAGGATCGATCAGCTCGTGGCCTTAGATGAGCATAACGTTCATGAGACACTTGCAAACAGGAAGTTCTTAATGCCTTTGAGCTACCTCAGTAACATAAGGCAAGAGAGGGATGAATCCCTTCAGTCTTACATCGAGCGATTCCACAAAGAGCTTCATAAGGTAGCTCACATTCCCGAAGAGTCTGTTTGGACTCTCATCATCACGAGAGTTCGCCCACAGACCGATCTGTAGAAAGAACTATAGGCTGAGGATGATGTTTCCCTCACCCACTTCTACAGCCTTGTGGAAAAATACCTCCGTATTGAAAACTCCGTGGCAGCGCTCCACCGCCACAACCCCGGCACTTCAGGTAGTGCACCTGGTCAGGGGGAAAATAAGAGGGTTGATCACAGATGGGTTAATGAAGATCAACGAAAAGGAAAGAAACCGCCGTTCGAGCCCAAGAAGTCTTATGCTTTGGTTCCTCGTCGCGATCGCGATAGGAGTCAATATACCCCTTTAAATGCATCTGTCTCGGCCATTCTTGACAAGTCAGAAGAGGCCAGTCTGCTCAGAGAGCCCAAGCCCATGAAAGGTCCCTCTTCATCCAGAAATAACAAAAAATATTATCGTTATCATCGGGACAATGGGCATCACACCGATGAGTTTCGAGCCCTCAAGCAAGCAATCGAAAACCTTATCAACTAGGGGCATTCAAAGAGTACGTTGATGACTCTGCTCCCACGAGGGAGAAAAATCAAGAGGAACCAGGAAAGAAGCGTCATGATCACAAGGGTATCTATAGCATCGGAGTGATCTTTGGAGGACTGCATCTCGTGGGAAATTCGTGAGTTGCTCAGGAAAGATATTCTCACGTAGCCCATCACGACCCCATTAGTGTGATGAACATGACGCGGAGACCGCCAAAGGTTAGCACAGAAGAGGAAATTACCTTCTCCGAAAAGGACGCAATCTGATTATATCATCCCCATGATGACGCTCTCGTAATCACGCCCTAAATAGGGCGCTTCAACGTCCACAAAATGTTGGTGGACAATGGAAGTTCCGTGAACATCCTATTCTAAACAGCTTTTGAGAGAATGAATTTGGACGAGGCCGACCTGAAGCCCACCTCGATCCCCCTATATGGTTTTACAGGGGACCACCTGATCCCCAAAGGAACGATCTCGCTTCCAGTCACGCTGGGTGACTCTGACGAGGTGACCAAAATAACTGAATTCTTAGTAGTGGATTGCCCATCTGATTTAATGGTATCATAGGGTGACCTCTACTGAGAAACTTCAAGGCGGTCACTTCGATATACCATCTCAAGATGAAGTTTCCCACCCCGACGGGGATAGAGGAAGTAAGCGGATCTCAGCACGCATCTCATGATTGTTATGTAAGAGCAATGCAGATGACGTGCAAAGGGAAATGCATCTCGCGCGACATTCCCAAATAGGCAATGGCGATCAGCCAGATCAAACCACAGCCTGACCCGGCTGAGGATAATATGGATCCTCATATTTAGGAATACCCTTCCAGTAGGTCAGTTGAGGATCTATCTGAGGTGTCAGTTGACCAGAGCGAGCTGAGCAGAGTGTTGAGGATTATGAGCAATCTCAACCCCCAACTCGCCACCGAACTGATCGGTTTCCTCAGAGAGAATATCGATGTGTTCATATGGTCGCACGCAGATATGG